TTTAATAAATATATTAATAAATATTTTTTAATTAAACTTAAAAAATTTAAGTTTTATATTGAGCCAAAAAGCGTTTGAAGACTTTTGGCGGGGGTCTGTACTATAGATTAATATAAATATGTATATTTATAATTAGATAAGTATATCAAAGAATAATAAATTCAAATATAATAAAGCTAAAAGAATCTATTCTAATAATAGAAGAAAAATTTTATATTTTCATAAATTTTTAAATATTATTATTCAAAATGCAAGATTAATTATAATTTACATATAAGAATAGTCTAGTAAAAGTTAGGGTTAGGCAATCATATAATTTTAAGAAAATCACAATTTAAAATTATTGGTTAATTTAGTAAATTGCAATTTATTCTGTCATTTTTAAAAGATTTTTAAATTAGTTTTTTTGCAAACTAGAATAAAACTTTATAAGAAATTTATTAAAAGCATTAGTTTTATTTTAGTAAGTTTATTTCATTCATTAAATATAATAATATAAAAATACAGCAATTATAAATTATAAAATATTATATTTTTTGAATATACTTTATAAATTTTTTTTTATTTTCTAAAAAATTAAATCAATAAATATGTAATTATAATAAAATTTTAAAATCAAAATTTTGGCTAAACTTAGCTTTTGCTGAACTGAACCCATATATTATTTTAAAAATAAATTATAAAATTATAAAGTTCAAAGTTAAATTCTGCTATTTTATAAAAAATATTAAAATATAATATATATATAATATAATTAAATTTAATTATCAAAATACAGTTTTTTTTAATAATCATAAAAGCCATAAAATTTTATAATTAATTTCTATAACTAATAAAAACAATTTTTAATCAAAAATGATCCATTTACAATCTTGCACTTATATTTATTTTTTTTTATTATTTATTAATAAAATACTGTGAAAATCTTCACATTTATTACCTAATATGTAAAATTATGAAATATCAGTATTTAATAATTTTTGTAAATTTATAAGTAAATGTTATTAAAAGAAATATTAAAATAAAAATGCAAAAAAAAACATAAAATATAATAATAAATTTACAAGTTTTTTTTAATTATATTATAAGAATTTAGTTCAATAATTTTTATTAAAGAATATTATAATCTCAAAGTTAGTAAGATATAATTTTTGTAATCTGATATGATAGATATCTAAAGTTATTTGTATAATTGATTAAACTAATGAGTTAGATTAATCTGTACAATAATTAATTTCTCATACATATAATACCTTACAGCATAAGCCAGGGATGCCAATCCCTCTATTCATGAAAATATTTTTTTCAGTTAATTCTAGTGATCGGTCGCCCGAGTATCCTGACTGAGGCTTGTATGTCTTATATGCTATTGAACTTAGAATCAAGCCCCTTCTGGCTACTTTTAAAGCTGGTCTGAACTGCCGAATTACTAGCTATCGTAATAAGCTATACAAAGTGAGCGCTGCATGGCTAACCCTCAATGCTATCATAGTACGATGGATTCTGGCTAATTACTGGAAAGAGGAGTCTTAACAACCTATTCAGAATAGCCGCCTGACACAGTTGATATGTCCAGACTGTCAAAATCATTCCAAGAATTGAACTCAGGCCTCTTAAAAATATAGACGCCACGGCTCTTGTTCAATTGATCTGTCATGATCTTTTAACAGGGATGACCCTTGCAGACGATGAGCACTTGCCCATTACAGGCCAGCCCCCTAATATAAGTTCTGAACTCAATCACTAAAGAACATTAACTAATTATAAAAATTATCTCCTTTCTTGAATGGATTAAAGCTTGATGCCTTCTTTCAAAAATATCAAATTGCATTAGAGGTGCAAAAGGCTCACATCAGCTTCATAACACTAGCTGGTATAAGGATATCAAAAACTCAAAGATATTGTTAATTGCGGTCGGCAAGAGTGATGTATTTGTCAAGATATTGAAAATTTTCTTCTTGAAGTATGGTATGATGAAAAAACGGAAATCGTTATTCCTAAAAGGATATAAAAACAAAAAATTAAGGAGTTTTTTGTCTGCATCCAAAGGTTTCGATCTCCTATATTCATAACCTTATAATACATGTAATTATTGATTTAATAATTTCACATATTCTATGTTCGAAATAACGGTCACGACTCCAATCAATTTTACGATCACATGATTTAGGCCGAAATTATGATATGAATTTTTTTTATAATCAAGAATTCTTCCGTTTAAAAATCTTTCAATTTGATGTCACTATAGACTCAATTTTGTCATTAAACCGCAAAATTTGTTTCGATCCAATTGTCCAATTGTATAATTGAATTTTCGTTAATATGCCCAACATTTTAAAAGTATTGCTTTATAGTTCAGAACCTTACAGTGGTTAAACAAAATACCAGCCTGACTTCTCCAAGAAGTAGTTAAGAACCGATTGCTTGATGCTTGGAAAAAGCATCAAGAGAATATGGCAACCAATATTAAGACAAAATACCCAAGAGAGAAATATTTTCGGGAGCAGTCAAATTTCAAAAATTTTACCATGCCGAATTTGGACAATTATCTTATTAAATCCTACGTAATAATTGTTCTATCAACTTAGACGTAAATTTTTTTATTAAAATTATATAGTTAAAAAATTCTCTAACAAACAAATATTTTAAAAAATTACGATAGAAGAACGTTGCATATTTGAAAACAAAAAAAAATTCGATCATCATCTACTTCATTCCAAGACAGCTAAAAAATCTTCAAGATGAATATTTCCTGTGACTGGAGATACCCTATTAATTCTGATTAACGCATTACAAACGTCCGGCACGCCAGGTTGAGATTTAACCCTTTAAAAAAATAGGAAGAACTTTAAAATCAGATTAAATCTATGAATGTTACCGCAGGTGATCATCGCATGGAAATTTATTTAAATTGACCGAAACCGTAATTTTTGGAATTTTGGCCGGAAATAACAATCACAAAAAATAAATATCTCATACCATGGTAGATTTACTTTAATGTTTCTCGCCCAGACTCCGATTGCAGCATCACTTTGAAAAATAAAAAGAAAGCCATAATTCCCATAGTCCGTTGCTCCATACGCAACCAAGTTCGCAACAATTGCCGCTTGCGTCTGAGCAGCAATTCCGTTGCGGCCTGGATTTGCAGGATTATTGTTGAAACCTGAATTATTCCAATCAAAAAGTAGCGCTGGCATTTCGTTATCGTTTTTGATTGAACGGAGGACGATGTCAGCAGTCTGTGGATTTTGTAATACAATTGGAAGAGATGTAGGAGCTAAATGTAAAAAATAATTTATAAACGTTAATATACTTATGAAAATAATTCAACTGCTAATTTTTATTACTTGCCTAAAGAACACTTTTTCGCGAGTTTCTTAACGTTTTGCTCTTGAATTTTTTGACGGACAAATGTAAGAGGATTAGACATAATGAACGGAGGAGGGATGTGGTATAAAATAAACATGATATAAATATCCTCAAAATTATTTAAAATCGTTAAAATAATCATTAAATAGATATTGTGATTTATCATAATATATTGATGCTCCAAAATAATCATGTGAAAAAAAGCTTACGAAATTATGAAATTTATGAATAGAACTATAACGTTAATTTGCTTTTACATAACGTCATACCATTTTCCGAAGTCTTACTCAAAGACCAGTGGTGTATATTAGTATAGGAAAATTCATCATGTAACACGATTACAATCCGAAACATGTAGAAAAGGCTATACATTATAACAAGATATTTATGGAGATGTGTGTGAATAAAAAAGTGACTTTGGGTAAATTGTAAATTAAATAAATCGCGTCCTAGATGACATGAGAATACTAAGCTCCTGGGCTGAGCTCATTGCGAAACTAAATTATGATATCATGGAAGTATCCGCTCTAATAGTCCGCAGTAACTAATTTTCTTTTTTTTGAAACACGTGAGTGAATTTTGCAAAAAAAATTCCACAACCGCAGTCGTTTATTTTAGAGGATCTATTAATAAACCCGGCCAAGTGTGCGTCATGCATTTTTTTACTCAAAGGCTTCAAAAGATATAGGCTGTCCCTTTTTCTTTCGAATTTGTGAGAAAAAAGAAGCCAAAGGCGATGTAGTTTGCCAGAATGGATAATCTTGCGCAAAAATATTCTTTGCGTATCTATCCGAAATTTTTTATAAATACCTCAGGTGACAGGTCTGCTTGATCACCTTTTGGTCTGTATTATACGAACTTCAAAGTTTCTTACTCTTAACTGCGCCACAAACAAGTGAAAGACCATAGTAAAGCCAAAACAATCCATCGTCTTTATCGATACATTGTACTATTGTACTCACATAAGCGGTTTACTGAGATATTCTAGTTCATATACTATATATTTCAATAAAAAAATAATAATGTAGTATAAATTTGATCCTGCAAAGAATTACTCAGTTTAATTTATCAAATATAATAGTAAGCTAATCTAATCTACTATGTTTTAAGTGACAATTGCATTCAAAAATTTATATTCACTTATAGGAATGAAAGCTTTGATAATTGATGTTAAGATATAATGTGAAAATGCTAATACAAACTTAAAACTTTTAAAATGTGATATTGGATAGGTCATAAATAATAGTTCTGATTATAAAAAATCTATGTATAAAAGAATTGAAATAGAATTAGAAGAAGTTGACATTAAAAGCCTTGAATTTGATCATCTTATATGTTTAGGAATTCTTATAAATTTGGCATGCCAATTATCAAAAAATCACATGTTGATCCCTGGATACGCGTACAAACACTCGAATGCATTTTCTTTGTGAAAGTTTGCTAGGAAAGTCAGGTTCAAAACTAAAATGCAATAAAAATTAAAAAATTTCCAGAACCTGATTTTCCTAGCAAATTTCCCATATATAGTATGACAAAACATCTCGTAACATACTCTAAACTCAATCATGTTTACATCTAAAATAGTATAAAGGTTAATGCAGATGGACTGCTTTTTTGCGATCTAGACTTTAACCTTTTGTTGATCTTCAAAAACACGAGTATTTCAAATGAAAGGTGTCAGATTGGGATATTGTTAGATTACTCGATAAATATACCAGTATAGAATCTTATAAACAAAAAATAAAAATGCCTCTCAATTTAATAGCCAATACTGAGAATGGTCAAAGGCGTGAAAAAGCACAGTTGCTTCTCGACGCTTACAATCAGGCAAGTATTAGAATTTTATATCAAAGGTTTTTATAAAGAGTAAGTGGTGTGGTAAGGGACCTTGAGTTCCCTTATCATTCAAGTCTTTAGATACAGATGTCCTTTGAGCTTGTCTGATGTCAAAATATGAAAACACAATAGTTAAAGATACTGCTAATTCACTAATTATCATTTTAGGGTAATCGTCTTGATAAAAAGATTAAAAAATGGAAAAAGATGTATTTGAATATGCAGATTAATATATATCGTTCAACTATAAATAGGATAGTGATAAATGGTATATATGAGCAGGTTGGGAAATTAGTATAGTTAGTATAATTTAAT